AGGGCTAAAAAAGAGCCAAAAAAGTCGTTGTGGCTAAAAATGGTAGTTAAAATTTTTTAATTACATATATTATATATATAAGTATACACGCAAACATTTTCAGTAAGTAATCGTATAGAAAGACAACCCAGCCAGCAAGAAAATGTACATTTTACGAATATTATGTTTTACGATGGATTCTCGATCGGCGAAAAGTTAGAAAGAGGCTCGTAAACGATAAAACAAAAATAAAAATAAAAGAACGGGGCTTGTAATAATTTGGTAGCACAAGAAAAAATTTTCATTCTGTTGGAAATTTTTTTTGAACCACAATATTTTATAATATATAATATTCGCATACGAATGCTTTTTGGATCCGTTTACGACTGTTCGTAGCGAAAAAGTACTCGAAAACGAATCATAGACGGCTATCATAAACGACTTTTTAGCCGGTTTTTGTTCGAGAAAATATTCAGTTACGAGCTCGTTTACAATGATTTTGCTGGCTGGGAATGTACTCTGGAAGAAAGCTAATAATTTATCCAACCAAAAACCTTTTTGTGTGAAAGGGGAAATATGCGGGGGGACACCAGCTTGCTGGCTCCATCAAATGATTGTACCATCAGGCTCGAAGCTTATAACTTACCAGCATACTGGTACAATATCCATTTCTTTACAAATAAGGTCCAGTAGCTCGTTTCTGTAACAATTCTCTACCCAGGCGAATTAAGATATGAATTCGCCACCCTGTTCTCTACTGCTAATGAGTAGTAGAGAATGACGTATATTCTCTACTAGTAGAGAAATAATCGGTAGAGAAAAGTTATAGAAACGAGCTACAGGAAAGATCGAAATGATTAGAGCCGAAATTTCATAATTTTTCTACCATTTTGTTAAACATTGTTTTTTTTATTCACAACTGCAATATCGTGAACTTTAATCTTCCACAAATACGGCTTTGCCTCATGTAGTGCAAGAAATCTCCGTCACAATAATTTTTACTTAGAAAAATTAGCTAATTTCACTATTCACGACACCAGCATGCTTGTACAATCATAAAATTTTCGAATATGTAATTTTTGAAGTTACACCAGCAGCTCGTACAATCACACCGCAAGAACATACACGTTGAATCGACTTCAGGGGCCATTTAACAAATTAAGCATATTAAGGGCCGTAGACTTATATATTTTAAGCTATAGTTAAATCGTTAATTTATAAGTTAACCGCTTTTATAGTATGTATGTATAAAAACGTAAGGAACATACAATACATATATNTACACCAGCAGCTCGTACAATCACACCGCAAGAACATACACGTTGAATCGACTTCAGGGGCCATTTAACAAATTAAGCATATTAAGGGCCGTAGACTTATATATTTTAAGCTATAGTTAAATCGTTAATTTATAAGTTAACCGCTTTTATAGTATGTATGTATAAAAACGTAAGGAACATACAATACATATATGTATATATATCAGTGTTTCTTAGCTTAAAAATTCATCTCTTACATAAATGAAAAAAAATGAGATCAAATTAAGCGTATATGTATGTATGTACAACTTTTACATGCCATGGATGAATAAATTCTCCAAAGGGCTAGGGGCAATTTTAAATTTGTGTGGCCAAAAAAAGTATGTGGTAGCCAAATCTAGCCACCAAAGGTCTAAAACGGCAACACTGACTGCGATAAACATGTACTTAAGTATTTAAGTAAAAAGCTGCAACAAATACAACTGCAACACGATGAAGATCGAGGCAAAAGAAAAACACTGCTCGCTTTTGGTTTGTGTGGGCAAAAATCAGCCGACAAACTCAATGACTTTTCCTACATCATACAGCAAGTCAAGGCGAAATTATGCACATGCATGCAAACATACATACATAAATACATACGTACAAACACATATATATATGCATTTATACATCCATAAATAAATACTTGCTTATACGAGACTATCTACAGATTTACAAGTGGGTATGTTCTTGTTGTTATTTTTGTAGTTGATGCTGTTGGGCATATTTCGCCTGCTTCGCTTGACGTTTCTACATGGCGTTTGCCGCGCGGCTGGCCAGCATTTTCCACACTCGTACGCGCGCACACACAAACACATGCAGACTAAATAGATTTTCACTTTATTTTTGAGTTATTTTTCCCGCAGATTCTACTAAAACACGATCGGCTATTAGCTGAGTAGCTATGTGGATGGAACGTATGATGTAGGCGCGCATTTGAAACCGCTATGGGTATGTGTGTGTGTGTGTTGTAGGAAAAAAGGAAAACTGCGGGAGCATCTAAAATCGGCTGAGATGTCGAGCGGCAGGCTGCGCGTCTGTCTGTTGGCGCTTTAGTACTTCTTCTTTTTTTGGAGCTCATGTGTCTTGCTCGTTTTCGCCGCAGGCGTGTGCATGGGCGTAAACGCTTTATGAGATTGTACAATGCCGCTAGCACAATAGAGGTGTCCTGTTCTGAATGAGTTTTTTGGTTTTAGTTTTTTTTTTTTTTTGGGGGAATTTTGTCGGGTTTTTCGAACTGGCGTTTTTGTTCAAATTTTATTTTATTTCTTTCTGTTTCCATTTATTTGTTCTCCTTGCTGTGGGCAAATTCATCTAGAACGTTTGCACTTTGTCTAGGCTTTTCATTGCGTTTCCAATATTCGCCGCTGGTGTTGTCTGCTATGGATTGGCTTTTCGACAACTTAAAAAAAGTAAAAGCAGCAAAAGCGTTGATCGCTTATATTTGTTGCTATCCATTTAACAACACGCTCTGAGTATGCGGGTACATGGGCATGCACACTAACATACATACTGCGCACCGGCAGTCGTAAAATCTCGTTATTGGAGGGATTCTAATAGCACAGTTTTCTTTTAGTCCGATTGGAAAAAAATTAGCTTAATGAATTTTTGCCTTCTCTTGTGAGGAGCTTGGTATAAACTTTTCCTCATAAAGGTTTGATAAATCAAGACCTTTGATTAGTCTCTCGACAAGAAAGAATATAAGTAGAAAATATTATATATACTACTTACTATGTACATCACTCCCATAGCACCCCAAGGAATTCATCACCGATAAAATTACTCCATCTTTCCTGTTGTTGTCGTCGTCGTCGTCGTCGCCGTTGTCGATGTAGCGGAACTACTAAGCCCCGCCTATTTCGGTTCATCCTTCAATCATTTTCGTTAAGCTCAACTAACGGTAGGCCCAGGAAACGGGCAGTTTAAACAGAGTCGGACTAAAGGGAGAGGTGTGTTAGTTGGGTGGGATTGTGCTGGCACGCGAAATGGTGGTTGGTGTCGTGTGTGTCTCCACATTCCGGACCTCATTGGGGATATTGGCGTCGAGCCTGGACAGATAGCTGTTGAGGCAGCTATAGCGCCCAGACCGTAACTGGGCCAGGGTAACGCGGGCCTCTCTTGGCAGTTGAAGCTCCAAATCTGACAAAGGTGGTGATTGGGCTCCGATCATGGCATTCATAGGCCGGTATTCGTGTTAGGACGTGATCGACTCCCTATGAATTCCGCTGACCGCTCGTCGGTTCCTCGTCGGGTGCAATGTGAGTCTGGACCGCGTCCTTGTAGATTATTAGGTGCCCCCGACGTGCCTGGGCAGAGGCTGCTCCTCTAGAAAGGGTCTGTTAGGCTATCAAAGGTTACACCTAAACATTTTGGATTGTTCACTGTCGGAATTGGTGTGCCATCGACGTTCTCCCCAACTGAAGCTTATTGCGGTGAAGAAGCGAGAAAGGCTGGAAAGATAGCCATTTACTTTTGAGCAGATGTCCTACGTTCCTCTTATTATCCGGACGACATGCCGTTATAACGCTAAGAAATCCGCGCTAGCAAATCTTTCAATTAGTATTTCGAAGGGCAGAAAAGAGCTGCCAGATTTGTCTTAAGAAAAAATGTTATCTATCGAAAGGCTGTGGTGAGTTACAGTTGCCAGAATTTCAAATGAATCAATAGATGTTTCGCTTTAGTAGCGCTGCCCAGGCGCGCTCATTCCTACAAACATCGAGCCAAAGCTATAGATTGATTTTCCCCTCGACTACTAAAGGGGTCGTAAACCCCCAAAAAATGATTGCAAGCTACCAAACCAAGTCTTTTATATGTAGCATCTATGTTTACATACACCTAATTTCTATAAGCATATCCACATAAATACATACATACACACACATGCACATATGTATGTACATTAAGGTGGTCCAAAAACAGTAAAGTTAGAATTGTAATGCGCACACCCCCTAGGATTGTTCTATATCGAAAAAAAGTATACCCCTATTTTTTATTTTGAAATAAAACAAGTAAGAAAGTCTAAGTTCGGGCGGAGCCGAACATTAAATACCCGGCGCAATTATTAAATATATGTTTTCCACCTTTCCGAAAGCTACCGCTACACGATAAGCCGGGGTGTATAAATTTTAAGTAAATTAGCGTCCTTAAATTTCGAAATATTGCAGTTTCAAGCATTTCTGAAATATACCGTTATATGGGAGGTAGGCGTGGTTATTGTCCTATTTTGCCCATTTTCAATACCATCCGTCCTACGCCCGAAAGAAGTGCACGTACCAAGTTTCGTTAAGATATCTCAATTTTTACTAGAGTTGTCGTGTGCACAGACGGACGGACAGACGGACGGACGGACGGACGGACGGACAGACAGTCACCGCTTAATCGATTTCTTTTTTCATTCTGATCATTTATGTATACATTTGTCTATATCTATCTCGATTCGTTTTGCCTGTTACAAACAACCGTTATGTGAACAAAGTTATAATACCCTTGTGCACAAGTGCGGGTATAAAAATATTTAGAGGTCGCTCAAAGCGCTCAAAATTTTCCATGTATTTTATATGGGGAAAAAACAACTTCTCATAGAAATGGTATAGAAATGCCTTTTTGAACCACCCTAATGTACATTATCCACAATATTTCGACTAGCTTATACTAGACAATTTGTTCGTTTTCGCCGTCAAAGATCGTCGCTCATACGAATTTCCTTTGCCTTGTGCCGCACATTTCGTTTGGTTTCATTCAGAATAGATGAAAATTATGATTTTTTGATTCCATTTTATTTCGTATGCGATATAAAGCAAGTTGAAACGACACTGCAAAGAAGAAATTGCGGAGTAGAAGTAAAACAAGAGCGAAGGAAAAAAAATCGAACATAAAATTAAATGAAAGCAATGTATAATATAGTAGATTCATAAATTTGTTTGTGAAATGTGAATTGGAAAATTTGCTCATAGCGGCGGCAAAATAATTGCACGCCAGCAGCGTTCGAATACTCGTCAGTAGTGACTTGAATTTTTTTTTACACCGTGTTTTTTCTGTATATACGGATATATATATATATATATTTTTTTTTTTTTTTGAAAAATATTAAGCATGCATGTTTAAATGTTGCTGTTGCTGTCGCCACGGCTGTTGCTGAAAACTCAGACGAGCGAAGACGAATGTGTTTCATGTGTTTTGGACTGTGCAGCAAATTTTAATTGAATTATATTGAACACGAAAAGCGTACAAATCGTCCGCATTATTTTGCAGCAATATTCAATACGCAGCTATTGACGAAAGGCAATTTTTGTAATTAAAAAATTCGGTTATAATTTTTTTGTTTGCGCGAATAAACTGGGTATGGAAAAAATATTGAAACCATATGATAAGTTTGATGAAGAGTAAAAAAGTTAAAAAAAAAAAAACTGGAGGGCAACAAGAAACGTGCCGCAAGGTGTGAAATTCCGAAAGTTGTGCCGGAAAAATTTGTATAGGAAAAACAAAACGAACTACATAAGTAAAATTGATTGAGCAAAACGACTCGCATATTTGGAGAGCAAAAATACATAAAACAAAGTGTGGCAACGGAAACATGTATAAAAAATACACTTTTGAATGTTTGTATGTGTGTGATTTATATTAAAAATTACTATAATAAATCAGTCAGCAACTTGTGTCAAAATAAATGAATTTGAAAAACACAACATTAAGTATGGCTAATTGAGTTGACAAAATAATTAAAAAGAAAACCAATAGTGAATTGTGATATAAAATATATCTTTAAAAGCGTAGAGGCTGAGTTAATCGTCTATATCTTTTATACATAATCAATAAACACAAAAAGTTATATTATTTAATTTACTGGCAAATAATATAACCGGGCTAATTTCAGCGAAAATCTCAGACGTCAATGCAGGAAATACTCTAACATACAAAACATATAACGCAACACGAAATTGTTTATGTAATCTAAATAAGCGTACAACAACAAAGCAAACATCACACTTATTTTCAGGAAGAATTCTATGCTAGATTTTGTGCGCGAGTATTTTAAAATTAGAAGTTCAAATTCTGTGAACAACACGCATAAGTGCAGAAAGGCTAAAGGGAAGCAGACAAAAGAATAAGCAAAAACAAATAGCAAACAACAAAACAAAAAAATATGAAATTAGTGAAAAAATAAAGAAAAACAAGTTTTTGCGATTATATGTGTGTGTCGGTGTGTGTTTGTGTAGTTGAAGTAAAATCTAGTGATTTAGTGTCGGGGTTTTGAAAGCTTTTTTTAATTTAATTTTTATATTTTATGTGTTTATCTTATATAATTTTCAGCAATTGAATATCTTTATTTAAAACCCACAAAGTTGTATGTATATTCAAAGTCGGAAACTAAATACATACATACGAGTATAAAAGTAGTTAAAAAATTACCGCTAACAAAATCAAAAATTATTTACTTAGCAACTCAATTCATAAAGTGCTTTAAAACCGAAGTTTGTGCAATATGTCGGAAGTAGAAGCCACCAACACCTCCTCTAGCGCTGAGGAGAAGCAGGAGCCAAAGACCGTCACTCAAACGGTCGACGATGATGAGGAAATGAAGGAGGAGGTTTCTGCCGAGACGGAGAAAATGGTTACCGAGGCCATCGATGAGGACGGCGATGTGGTCGAAGAGACCACAGAGGTGACCCGTAAGACCATTAAGCGTACCATGAAAATTACTGAGGTGAGTGATAATTTTTTACTGTTTTGTGTGCACATTAGGTTAAGTTATGATGGCTGTCCCAAGAGGGTCTCACTTACACATAAATTGAATTTTCCATTGTACTACGCCGTTTGTAAAATTCCTTGAATGGCAACTACTGGTAATCTGTGTTAGGGTAAGAGATGCACTGGGTGCTTAAGTCAAAGTTCCGCGGGCAGCTGATATCCACACCGGAGAGTTTTTCGAGAGTATTCATGAAGTGCGCGCCGATATTTTCAAACCTTAGACTAGCGAATGCCAGGCAACTGAGTAGGAAGTGCTGGGATGATTGCACCTCGTCCTCCAAATAGATACAGCGGTAGGGATTCGTCGCACCGCATGGCTTCCTAAGGAATGGTGTACAGTCAGTACGATATTAACAATCGAGAACTAGCGCTTACATCCCTTGAGCGCCTGCAGTCAACAACCGGCCAGAACGAGCTTGCAGATTAAATTTTTGGGGGTTTAAGTCAGCGATCACTGAGCCGACTGTAAGCCTATATGTCCCGGAGTTAGTCACAAGTTGGCAAGGAAACTTCTTTTCTCTCGCATCCAGCTCTGAAATTTCCACAGATGTCACTGTACTCTGGCCGTTTAATTAGGAGATAATCCGAGGCAGTTGTGAGATACTTCAGGCATTCCCCGATCAATTTTGACCATACCAAAAGCGATCCTTGCGCCCTAATTGCCGCCTGGATATCCGAGTAGATATTTAACCTTATAATCGGTAATGCACTTGTGTGTAGCTAATCGGATGCTTCTTCAATAACTTCCACCCCTGCAAAAAAGCTGTACAAATTTGGCAGCCTGAATATGAAATTTATTTAGAGCACCTGTTAGAAAACACTTCATCAGTTCGCAGCCAGCCTCGGAACGCTTCGATCCATTTCTTCTGGTAGGAAATCGAAGGTTTCAAGAATGGAGGGATGTGTGTGAAGAAGAATTCGTTCGAAGCCAGCCTCGGAATACTCCGATCCATTTATTCCGGCAAGAAATCGAAGGTTTAAAAATTCTAGTACGCCGAGTTGAATGAAAAGCTAGAGCCTTTTATCCTAATAGCAGAGCGAAATGCGACAGCTTTGCTCACAATGCCAACGTAGCACTGAGGATAGTATTTAGCTCTATATTAGAAGTGGTTCCAGAGCGCTCCGTTGTGAGAGTAGACTTTTATCTACCAGACAATGACTCCATATAACATCATTACCTAGATTTTGGTTTAATATAGCCAATATATCACTTTTTGAGGGGGGGGGGGGGGGGGGGGGNGGGGGGGGGGGGGGGGGGGGGGGGCACAGAATATTTATAGAAGTAAAGGCCGCTAATTCCTTTTTTTGATCGCTCTTTAATATTTGGTTTCCACTACAATTTTATGTCAAGGATAACGCAAGGACTTGACCCAGTCTGAGAGCATAAGGTAAACGATGATCAAGGAAGGCACCAACCGCTATGTCTTTGTTCTTAAGAGACTCCAATGACTTTGATAATTGTAAGCAAGAAAGATTTCACAGATCTTCCCTAAATGTATGAATGCTGAGAGAGGTCTAACCACTCTCGAGAAATCCTCTTTCGATCAGTGGAAAAAATACAGTGTCGAAAGTGAGTGAGAATAAATAATATAAAAAAATATTTTAATATACAACGCTTTTATAAATGGACTAAAAAGAAGAAAATAATATTTCTCAGTCCCATAGATTTTGTATTGATAACTTTTGATTTTAAAATTTTAGCAAAAGTTATTTGTTTAGGCGCGTATGCTAACACCAGGCGCCTAAATACATGCTATGTAGTGCTGCATGTGCAAAAATTTCCTTTATGCAATTTATGAAATTTTTGCACATGCAATTCTCAACTGCCATGTAATTAAACTTTCTTAAGTATTAATTAGATGGACTTCAAAGTATGCTCGGCCTAGTCTGATGCATCCTCCGGATACTGCTTCCGGAGCATTTTGCGGAACCTGCATGGCTTACAAACATGCAGAGGTGGTAAACGAATTTACCATTGGCCACAGTGCCTACCCAACATTTGTGAACCAATAAATAATTTTTCTCAGTCACATCTTATTACTTACCTGACACTTATCTGCCATTTTCTGCGGGCAATCTTTTCACACTATATTCAGTGTTGCCAGGTCTTGGGCATGAGAAAACGTCCCTCTTGGTCTGAAAAAACGTCATTTCCTACCCAAAAACGTCTTTTTCAAATGTACAAAAAATTGTGCTTATTACACTTTTATTGTATACAAAGGTACATATCGTCGATGTTTTTGCGAAACCAACCATCGACCAATTGCAAAACCGTCTATCTTAGGGCACTCGAATTTTACAGGAGAGCAAAAAAAAACGGCTTTTCTTTGAAGGCATTGCCTTGATAGGCAGTGTATTCGTTAGCTATTATTTTACAAATCTCTTGTTTTAATAACGATTTTACGCATAAATCTCGATACCTGGAGTTCAAGGTTACCAAATATCATTTTTGTCACAATGGCGATGTAGGCGGTTTTGCACCTGGTAGATGGGCGGTTTTGCAAAAACATCGACGATATGTACGTAAGGTATATTAAAATGTCATTTCGACAGAGCGCATTTAAAATTCATTGCAAACTGGTTTGAGATCGTTAAAATAAAAATCATTTTATACATACACTAGTGATCAGCTGATTAAGTCATCAACATTTTGATCGATTATGACTGTTTCTCTTTTGTTTATTTAATGTTTATTATTTTTCAATAAAAGCCAAGCTCATTATATAACTATCAAAATATAAATCCATATTTCAAACTTTATGCAAAAATAATAAAATATCCAGGAAGTTTCAGCTAGATTTTCAACTTTTTATTTAGGTTTTTTCTAAATCATCAAATTTCAGGGCAATAATGTGCAAGTTTAAAGATGCTAAATAATCGCGCTGATTTTTAATATTTTTTTCCCTTGTAGACATTTGGTTAGGGGGTCGGTTGTCGAAAATGCTAAATTGCGTTCTGCTTAGAAGGAGCATAGCAATATTTCAGCCTTTTTTGCGTTCATTAAATTTTAAATGAAGTCTTAAGAAAGTCGCCTACTTTTTTCTGACTTTTTATGCTTCAACAGCTTTTTTGATGCTTTTGTGAGCGTGCGCGTTGCAATAGATCGGCTCTTCCTGATTTGGCTTTTAATGTGCAATTGGAAACATTACAATAAGCCTCGTAACCTCAAGTGTTTACACAGCCAGCCTTTGAACATGGGATCCTTAGCCAAAGAATCCAAAAAATGCGCGTACGCTTGGTTTGCATCATTCAAGATTTAGTAACAAAGAAAAATTACTGGGAAGTTAAAAAATGTAATTTTTTGCTCAAAAAACGTCCAAATGACGTTAAAAACGTCAACCTGGCAACGCTGACTATATTAGCCAAATTTCTAAGCCTTCAATCGAACAAAGAATAATAACGGGATCTCTCCCGGGGATAAAACAAATTGCTTTATATTCACAAAAATTAACAAGAAAACACTCGCTGAAACCCGCTATTTTCGTTAAATTTAAATAGAACTTTTGCTTAATAAAATGATAAAAAAATGTTTCAGTTTAAATACATTATTAACTTCTGTATGCGGATCCATCACTACTTTTTAAGAATACAAAGCAGAAATTAAAATATTAACTTAAAACCGTCACGATCTTTCTAGAGAGCGAAAATTTATTTGTAAGCAGCGTTAAAGCGCAGTTAGTCAACGACGTAGCGTAAACGTAGGTTGACGTACGTAGCAGCATATCAAATTTACCGCCATGCGGTGGTCAGTTTTCGTTAACACGCGAATCCCATAAGGTAGATCGTGTCTGCGTCAACCTACGTCTACGTTACGTCGTTGACTGTTTGAGCTTTTAGAATATTCTGTTTGCGGTCAACGTTGAGAGTTCGCTGTGCAAGTTAGAAAAGTGAGGGGAATGGGAAATGTTATTTGGAATGTTCTCCATCGAATGTGACTAAATTTTTAAGTTTCCTTAAAAATTTTGTCAAATTGATTTTTGGTCGCCTTAATCGTTCAAATACCCGCATGTGCGTTGCATCGTTGCTTTAATTTCATCGGATGAAATTAAGCGTGACTTTTCTTGAAATGAAGTGGCCGCATATTTGAGAGAATCTAATAACATATGATAAAACTCTTAAAGCTCTTGGAAAATCTGAAAAACGGTTGGGAATATCGGTATAATTTACTTTTGTGGTTTAAACGTGCGTTCTTTTTCCTCAACTACTGTGCTGTAGTCTGTTTCCTGTGTGGGTATACCCATCGCAGTATATGAATATTATCAATTTCGTGGTAATGTTGGATAAAATTCTGCTATCGGTCTAGAGTGGTCGAAGACACAGTCTCATCCCAATATGTGCCTTCTAGCCAAATATTTTGCATAAGGATTTTAGTTACAATTATGATAGGCGCAAGCCACCCCATCGGATCGAAGAGTTTGGCAATGGCAGATAGTATCGCTCTTTTCGTAACAGTATCACCAATGGCCTTGCTATAAAATAGAAAAGATCCGTATGGGCATTCCATCTTATTACAAGAGCCTTGACTGCGCTGGTATCTTCAAATGCCAAAAAATCTTCACTAAGTAGATCTGTTTTCGGTATGCCATTAAGTATTGGCTGTCGCTATTGGCTGTCCACTTTCGAAGTGGAAAACCGGCTGATTGCAACACTTCTGATATCTCATCTCTGGCTTTTATTGCTGAATCGATAGTGTGTCCACCACATAACACATCGTCGACATACATGCCTTTTTGCAGTATGTTAGAGGCTATTGGATGGGAGCTTTGCATATCGTCAGCTAATTGTAAAAGTGTCCTTATAGCAAGATAAGGAGCACAACTGATACCGAACGTGACAGTCTTTAATTCGTACAGACTGATCGGGTTGTTCGGGTTAGTGCGAAAAATATCCCCGCATACTTAGTATGGTTGTTATGTACCATATGTAATATATGTATGCGGATATATGAATAACGACCGCTTATAATCGATCTCAAAATTGTACTTTATCTGTAGAAATTGTAGGTCTATGTTATGTAGTTTGACTATTGTCAATTAAATCTAATGCTTTGTATTGCATGCGCCCCACGCTGTTCATTTTCAATCTCATAAATGGTTTGTAATAACTTTTGCTAAAATTTCTAAATCAAAAGTTATCAAAACAAATTCTATGGTACTGAGAAATATTATTTTCTTGCTTTTTAGTCCATTTATAAAAGCGTTGTATAATTAAAAAGTTTTTTTTTATATTACTTATTTTCTACTTTTTAGTCTTGTCCGTATAAAATTTTGCAATAGATATTAAAATAATTGAACGATATTAATAATTGGTGCACACACATGCATATACATATGTATGTACATACATACGAACACAAATCAATTTCATTTAAAGAAATGGCTGTGTCGTCCATTTCCGCTGTAGCGTATGTAGTGCATAGGGCGACATCTACCTGTCAACCATACTTTTATAGGATATTTGCAAAGCAAAGGTTTTATAGAAATGAATGGTGACAGGACACACAACATTGCAAGTTGATAGAAGCGTTGTAAAATACAGTGATCGTAGCGTGGCCATGCAGGCGGAATCTTTTCTCTCTCGGGCGGTGTGACATTTCCCATATGAAGCAGCTTAATTAATTCACGGGCTCCCTGAAATTGAATTACTTCATAGAGAGCGGGAGATATGGTTAGACTCACATAAGTATATTGGATTGTATTGAGCCGCTCATTACATTGCCTCGGCCTCAGTATTCGCAGGTACATCAATCATAGATGCAGAGAGGCTTCCATCAAGGGTTCGGATACTGAGATATCCCAAATCTAGCGCGCAACCAAAAATAGGAGTAATTTCTTGTTAATACATTTCGTTACCTTAATATAGAAAGGCCCTATCTGACATCGTCGCTGATTTACAAAAAGTCGTAACTAACTAAAAATCGAAAATTTACGTTTTAATTGATTATGATGCATTTGATCGAATTATGTGGCCTCACATCGTTTTATGCAATAAAAGATTTTAGTTAGTTACGGCTTTGTGCATTTCAGCGACGATGTGAGATAGGGCCTTTCTATATTAAGGCAACGATTTATTTCTCGAGCCGCTTGCTCCTAGATAGGCGCCCGCTTACAGCTGCATCTTAAGATGAACAATCGCTGCACATATCAGTTGAATCTAAAACCGTATACATCGGAGTGTTCCTAATAAATAAATTTCACCCCTCTGCCTTGACCCAAAGATCTTCCAGAGTAGGAATTGGTAACAGTGGAGCAACTGTAATCAATCTATTAAGTATTCATACTCCATTGTTAGGTATCTATTTTCACTGAGCATATGAAACAACATCCAACTGGTAGAATTGCGAATCTGATACATTTTTTTTCCACTCATTGCATCGCAATTGGCTCTTCCTATCTGAAAAAGAGAATAAGGCGGTCAGCGACTGCATGAGTTAGGACCTTTCTATGTATATTAAGGTAACGGTATGTATGTAATTAAATTTTGCTTATAAAATAAAATGTAAAATAAACAAATATTGGGCGGTTGCGATCGACTAAACAATCTTTTACTGCCGACATGATTTACGCGCATAATTTGTTACGTAGCATGCTGCCACTTTTAATGGCGGTATTCGGTGCTTATAAATTTAGCGAAATTTATTGTTGGCTGCAAATACTTTTTACTTTTATTTTCAAAATAAGTATTAGCAAGAGATGAAATGTAGAGGCAATATTTATTATATGGATGTACATATGTATATACATACG